TAAACAACAACCTCTACAATTTTATACTATGGAAATGAAGATTTAAATGAAGCAGGAGTGGGTCTTCCCTCTTCTCAGGAGGGCACCCCAAGCACGAGCCCAGGAAGTCAGTCAGTCTTTCTTTGGCCACAGAACAGGACAAGGCTCACTACCTCACCCATGGGTTTTGGGAATGGGAACTGTGGCACTGGAGGACTGATCCATCCTCACTGCCCTGTAGAGGAAGTTGGCAGTATTTCTAGGAGGGGGGGGTCAGGGACATGAATGAAGGGAGATTTAAAAGCACGTAGGAGGGAAGGTTGAGTTCAACAGATTTCCTTTTTTCTTTTTAATATTATTGTCCCAGACAACCGTCTACTTGGCAATAGAGCAGCTGTGGAGCTTTCTTCGGACACTGGACTTTCTCTGCTCATTGTACAGGGTGCCTATGTACCTAACCCAAACATTTCTGAATCCCTTACCTGTCCTACTTACAGCTGAGCTTTCTCCACATCACTTAATTTCTCACCATCTCCTTTCCTCTTGTCATTCCAACTAGTTTCGTCCAAGTACAAATGACATGCTTCCTCCTCCCATCTGCCTGAGCACTGCAACTTGGGGACCAAGGATGAGGCGAAGACGGACACACCGGTTCTTTAAAATGAAGGTCACCAGAAATGTGAAATGGCGAAACAAGACATTTTTCCCTGTTCAGACTCCTGCAAACAGCTGAAAGGTCACAAGCAGTTGGCTCTTGATGAACACAGTGATAAAAAACTTCAATAATATTTCAGGTAAGCCGAGAACCTATCTTCCCCCAGGCTTCTTTATTTCAGAAGCACTTCCTTTTCCAAAACATGGCCAGGAAATGACATTTCACCAGCACGTGTATGGCACTGCAATAAAACAACAGCACACCCAGGAAGTGTTTTCAAACTCACATCAAGGCAAGCAGAACAAGAGGAAGGTATTAATGACAAAGCTCTAGCTGAGGAGACAGTCAGCTTTCTCTCTTGATGTCTGCTTTGCTGGTTCCCAGAGAACCCAGTGTGGCTTTAAAAACCCTGTGCATTCTGCTGGAGCCATCCCAGCTGCATCCAGCCAAGGAAATGTTCTTGGGCAAAGAAAATTCACCGTTTCTTCCTGGCTTTTTCTGCCATAAGGGAGAGTGCTCATAATCAGTTATAAGAAACCGCTCCATCAACTGATATAATCTTGCCATTTAGAAGTTTGCCTGTGCTCCCAAAGCTAGAGCTGTCAGCTTTATCATACTGCTCACTGCTGTGAGGGGCCCTCAGCCCTCCGTGGTAATAAAGGTTTCCACACTTTCTGTGCAAGATGAAATTTTAGTTGAGTTAAAAAAAATACACCACACTTTTGACTATAGCATGAGTAACATCGTGGCTGATTTTCATTTCTTTGTCTAACTCCCTGTATATAAAACTTCACTGTCAGGAGCATTTATAGTGTACTGTGGGTGTTTCAGTGCCCATCAAAGAACTTTCATTAGGGCCTTCTGTGGTAAAATGGTTTGCAATCCTGACACTGAAAAACGCTCTGTGCTGGGGGAGCTTCACTTCTGTCGAAGAGGAGGATTACTGTAAGAATTAACTTGTTTCTGGCCCCGCTGTGGTACTCTGGCATCCCGTTTGCCCTGAGATTGAGCCTGTCTGTAGATGGGGCCCACCTGTCACTCACGATGCGTGCCCTGAACAACCTCCTTAATACTCCACCTTCCAGCAGAAGAGGTTGCTCAAAGCAAACCCCAGATGAGGGCTCATCTGGAGCTTACCATCTGCAACAGCAGACCACCCCATAGCGTGATCTTTTCTACCTGCTCTGGCCATTATACATAATACCAAATGGTGATGCTCACAGACAGACCAACCGCCATGCAAAGGCAGGAGATGTCTGCATCAAACCCCACGACTTTCACCTTCATGACTAAGGCAGCACCAAGGCAATGTCAGACTTTGAACCTGTCTGCTTAGTCACTACAGGGATATCAAAACCAATGTAACAGATAAACATATGAAGTATATGAAACACATTCATCCTTTCAGCCTTCTGCACGTCAGTGACAATACAATAATGAAGACCGAGGATGGGGGATTCGTTATGCTCACACATCACAATGTGAGTACTGATGTGCTGAACTTATTATATAACCATAACATTAAGGTCCTCCACCAATCAAATTATGTATTTTCTATCTTGTTTTATGCAACTACCAGGTGTCAGAAAATAACTTTTCCTATTACTCAAAAGGTTTCTTTTGCCCACTGAACTATATTTTAAAGCATTCATCTCTGAATAAATAATCAGAGCTTTCAGTCTGATAAAGATATGGATACAAAATGTTAGCACTTGGAAATCTCCAGAAAAAGGCAACCTTCCAACCTTAAATACCAGGCTGACTCTCTCTTTCTTCCAGTCCTCTCCCAGAAAAAAAGCCTCCCATTAATTTCAAAGCAAGTTTAAACAGATAAGGTCATGTGTTTTGACCCTTACCACTTCTGACATTAAAAATAATTGAATCTGTTGTTGCAGCAAATAAGAGCCTAATAAAATGCTTGTATTAGTATTTATTTTTTGATAATTACTGATGTTCTATGCAGGTGGGAAAGCTTGGGTGCATGCCTGTAGGACACTAATGGGAAATTTTTTTTTCCAAGTGTCACATTTATCAGTGCACTAGAAGAAAATAAGCCTGTATTACAAAGTTTCATGCTGGCTCTCATTATGCCATCTCACAAGCTTGTCCTTTGATTTATTATAAAAATTAAATATATTTTCTCAGTGAGATCAGAGGCATTAGATGAGAGGTCATGGAAATGCTGTCAGAAAAATGATAGTTTTCCACATGTAAAATCTTTTGTATTGCACATCTTAAGTTCAACCAATGCTGCTGAATTGCTACAGGGGTCTGGTAGGATCCTCGTGGATTCCTGTTCCCCAGGGTTGGGGATGATGGAAACTGTGGGGTCCCCAGCTCTTGTACAGACCATAAGTAAATGTCTCCTCCTGCCTCCTGCAGGGTGCTCAGCAAATTTGACATCCTTGTCAACGTTGCTGCAGTTAGTAGCAGGGGAGCTGACAGGAATACTAATTTTGCAGAGCAGCTGCAGGATACTCTTAGCTTACTAGAAATAATTTTTTTTTTATTATTTTTTAAAGAAAGGTTTTAGATTCAACTGAGATAAAACCCAGTACTGCAATCGACAAACATTTCCACAACCTGGAGACCCAACATTTAAATTAGTTTTTCAGACACTGAAGTCCTTCTTACTTGGAGAGGAGATACACTGGCATGTCTGGTAAAGCTTCCTGTTCCTCTGAGAAGACAAAATACATGTTTCTACCCTGGTTTTAATCACTGTGTACTTTCCAAATGTTTTGGTAAATGGGACAAAATCTACGTAACGCTTCTTGTAATGCCCAGAGCAGACTGAGCAGGCGTACTCAAGCCAGCTTCAAACTAATCAGTCTAACCACAGCAGTATGCTGCTCAGCCCCAGCTCCCGAAACTGGATGAACCATACAAATAAATACTAGGCAGGTTTTGCAACCCATGGTACATCCTGAACTGCCATGGTTATCCTCTTAGTTGTAACCAACTAACCCAGCATGCTGGAGCTAGCGTCAAGATAGATGTCACCACAGAGTCCACGTATCCTAAAGAGCTATACAGTTTTCCTGGAAATCCTGCTACGCTGCGCTATGGCTATGACTGGTACAGAACGTGAAAGACAAGCCCTTAGTTTTGCAGAAACATGTCATTTTTGGTGACAATAGGTTCTCAGCTCTGAAATCAAAAAATGCGATCATCACTCAGAGTAATACAGCCATCTATTCCAGTTCCTTAGTCTTTGCCTGACGCATCGGAGAGAAGCTTAAGCAGCGCACAATAAAGAGCACCTTCAGGTATGAACCCTGAAAACTCATATTCTGCATTTAACCGCATGCAAGAATTCACACTTAGCTAAATGAGGCTTCTCGCACAATTATGGGCTATTTTCAGGAGTACAGGCCTAGGGGTGCCAGGAGGTACAGTCAAGTCCTGCCTGAAAGCTTCTGCTGTGCAATAAACAGGTCAGAGAGCAACTGGGCTGTAACTCAAGCCTCTTTTGGCACTTAAAGGAGCAAGCTCCTCACCTCTTTCTTTCTAGTTCTAGTGCGAACAGTAAGAAATCAGAAGAGAATTCATGTCCTCTCACAGACAATCCAGGATCAAGACTTGCAAAACCACATGTAGTAACTGTTAGTCATCATGGAAGAACAAAAAAAATAAGCCCTCTAAACAGATGACAAAGCTTGAAAACAAACACACTAGCTACAGATTTCTACCACGTGCATCAGTGCCTGGATCTGGGATTCTGGCTTAGATCAATTTACAATATAAAACCACGTTCTTGCAGTTTTCCATACTTATTTTTTAATTAAAGAGTCTTAAATCAGGACTGTTAGAAAGGTTAGAAAGTGATAGCAGAAGGAAGGGTGTGGCAGGAAGAGAGATTTGTTTTTTTTTCAGAAAACTAATGACACACCTTTCCTGCTCAGTGGAACACAAAATTTCAGGTTATACAAGTTACTCAGTACAGCGTCAACTCCTTTATCATGTATTTTTCTCACTCCTCTATTAGCACTTACAGGAGTTTGAATGTGGCTAAATCCTCCACTAGCGTTGTCTTTGCATACTGCCATTTCCTTTACCCATAATCTGTGAAGTCAATGGAACAAGATTTCTTCTGGGATACCCTCTAGCTCTAGTGGCAGAACTTGAATATACAGTTTAAGCCGGCTGCTGCTTTAATTGCAGTGCACTCAACTTGCTGCTTGGGCTTTTTTTTTAAAGATAAAGCTGGTAACAAAGTTAAAGATCTCTTAGAATCCAAGAAATCTTGCCAAGCCAAGCTTCAGCAACCTTAAAAACATGTATAAATTGGGACTGCATTACAAATTTTTAGCCTTGTTGAGCAAACAGTTCCAGATTAACAAATCAACCCGACCGCAACTATTACCTGCTGAAGTGTGCTTAAATTTTTCACTCTTCTTCTTCCTCCATTTCCATGGCTTAAAAAGCCTTCCTAGAGTGGCAAATTTGCTTCTTCTTCTGATGGGAGGCGTGTGAGTCCCAGGTACTAGGGAATCTGAACGCATTGCAGCCAGTCTTTCCACTTCCTCAGCTGTAGTTTCAGCAAGAAAAGAAGGAAAAAAAAAAGAGGGGGGAAGAAGTGAAATAAATGCTTAATAAATTATCAGACAACCACACAGATGGTCAAAATTTTCCATGGTTACAGAGAAAAGGAAAAAAAATTGTAGTCCTTATTATTTTAACATTATTTTCTTTCCTCAGTGGAATCCATAATCTACTGCAAAGATCAGTATTAACAATCGGACTCAACAGGAATATGGATTATTACAATAGCAAAGTTATAATCTGTATCAAATTTTTCTGCATTGGTCTAGATAGCTGGCAGTCCATCCACCAGCCATTCACGGGGTAGCGTGACAGAGACTGGGGAAGAGAAAGCTCCAAAAAAGTGATGCAATACTGCTTAAAAGAAATATTGCAAATCTTTTATTTTTTTCAATAGAAAGAGACATTTCCCTGAACTAGTATTTATCAAGAGCAAGGACCCTGATAAATAATGACTCTCTGGTATCATTACCATGTCCATTAAAACTGCCTGGGTTACAAAAGGGGCTGCATTAGGAACTTCCTCGTGACAGAAACAGTGCTAAAAATTCAGAAGGTTCCTTCCAGTCCCACTTTGCTGCTCACCCATTCCCCTCCAGTTTTTATCTTTTAACACAAGGACTTGGAGAATTTTAATTCCTCACTTAGGGCTGAATTCCCTAGGGGGGTTACAGGTTTTCAGTGAGCTACTGTTGTTAAAAAAATCAGTCTTCTGCAACCTTTATATTGTAATACATCACGACAGTCTCAAAACTTAAAAAAAAAAAAATTCAATCTGAAGAATTGAAATTATCCTTCTTCCCCAATGATGGCAAGAGAAGTCTGGGGGTGGTCACTTGGCGCTGCTAGATTGCAGGGTCCCCCCCTCACATTTGCAGGGAAAACCTATGCTGATAGTTTTGAGAAGTAATATCCCTGTGATTAGAGGTTCAGAGAGAGGTAAGCCAGGACCACAAAGGAAAACACTGACATGGGGAAGGTACCGGTAGCCCAGGAGAGAGGGTGTCTCCATGCCACAGCTGCAATAAGCTCTCTCAACCCTGGGCTGAAACGTGCACTCTCTCCCTAAAAAAAGCATCTGCATAATTCAGTCAGCACGCAGGAGGGGGTTTTGTGTTGGGTTTTTTTTCTTTTTTTTTTTTTTTTTTTTTAAAGGGATACGATTTCCCAAGCTTGTGTTGTAATGCAACACTGCCAGTAAAACTGATTTGAGTGGTTTGCACACACACAGTCTGGATTCATAAAGACAGGACACAGATCATCACCACTCCTGCCCTGAAAACAGCAGCCTAGTGCTTCTACTTCACCTCTAGTATATTAAGTATTAACCTCATCCATGAGCACACGGGCTCAGGAACCTCAGCAAGCACATCTCTCTGAAGGGATGAGCACACCCACTCCATGCTGACAGAATCACCAGAGATTTTGGCTCGCAAATTCTTATGTGTCTCAATGGAAATTTTTCTGAGGCTTTAAGTGTGCCAAATTTAGGTCGGTTTTCATGGGAACAGCCAGAGATGCATTTCTAACACAAAGGAGGTTTCATTATCAGAACTCCAAACTAAATACTATTCGAGCCTCTCAGGTTTTTGCAAGAAGGTTGGTTATTTTGTTATTGCTCTTTTGTTTGCTTTGAACATTAGCAACAGAGTCCTTTTTTTTCCAGAAAAATATCACTGCCAGATATGCCTGCCTGTAACTTTCCAGAGAAAAAAAAAGGTAGCCAGCAAGATAGAGAGCCCAAGTATTTCAGTGGAAATGGTTAAAAACATTCTTTGGGGTAATGGAGAGAAAGACAGACGCTTCTGAGAACATCATCTTTCCACTTAAAGCAGAGGAAAAAAAGGCAATCCGAGCAAAGCATTTCATTATGTTCCAGCTCTTTGTGCCTGACTGTCTAAATACCTTCTTAACCAGAGAACCCGTTACAAGGCTCTGCCCTGTACAGGGGCCAGGACATGCTGCATTGAGGGTGGAAATTGCCTGGTTATGCTGAACAAATTGTGAAGTAAAGAGAAGAGGAAATCAGAAATTTCCTTATACTTTCTGATTTCACTGGAATCTGCTGGGCTCTGAAGACCAGCACGGGATGCACACCACCTCCCTCTAAACGCAGATCCAAAGGGACATTGCCTTTCCCCCCCTCCTCCATGTTAAGATGCCTCTAGTTAAAGCATATAAGAACACACTGTCTTCCACTGCTGTGATTTTTTAGAGATGCTGCTAAAAGTAATGGGCTGGTATTGTCTTTGCTGCCTTACTTGGGGGATACAGGGTGTGGAAGCGGCCCATTGAGCAAACTGGGAATGACACACTACTGCTGCTGAATTAGGCTTCCAGCTGCATAAAGCCACAGCTGACACATAATGAAATTCCTCTTGCTGCTCACCCTCTCTCCTTTTCCCCATCGAGCCACCAGTTCTGCTACCCTGGTGCCTTATTTACTAAACCTCACAGTTGCAACAACTCCTCTTTGAGAGCTGGTCCTAGGTAGTACTGCTGAGGCCATTCCCTGGGGAACTGAGAGCCCTTAAAGATTCTCTCCTTCCCTAACATACATCCCCTCTGTCCCACACCCGCTGCACTCTCACTGCCCCGGGGAAGCTTTTCCCATCGAGGGTAAACAAGTATGGATTCACAGTTAGGCAAAACTAACACTGGAGTCAAAAGGAATGTACCCAAAGGGCAGGTTCATTAAAAATCAAACACAGTGTCAAAACCATTTCCATATTTTGACTGCTCTTCCCTGCATTTCAGTATAGTCTCTCATACGGATCTGTGCCCCGGGCGTCCTGCTGTGCTCTCCACCAGCCATAAACACGGCCCTCTCCTTCATCCTCTCTAAACACACACAGCTCCCAGCTAATGCGAGTAGCAGCCCTTTTTCCCCCCTCGCTCCTATTTCTCAGGACTACCTCATTTTTTTTTTCATGAAAAATACTCTCAAGAGCACTGCTAATTCAAAGCACGACGATCACTGGTTAGGAACAAACTACGTTAGCATAAAGCTGTGACAGTTTTAATACAGCAAGAATAAAAGCAGACCATGATGTAAATGCCAGATTTCTGCGCTCTTCTTTGCTGCTGCATCTTTTGCTCGAGTTGGCCGGGTTTCTCTGCCTTTTTGGCTCCTAATGACTATTGACTGGCAGTGGGCTGCGACACCCACTGCTGACAGCAGGCTCCGTAGGCTGGTTTCACACCCTTGCTGTTCCCAGAAAAGGTGGTACTTGCTCGAATGGAAACCAACAACCCAGGCCTTGCACTTTTTTTTTTTTTTTTTTTTTGTCTTTTTCCTTCAAAGAGGAAAGCAGTTCCAGCTTGATCAGTCTGCTAAACTGGGAGAGGGAACTGCCACGTGCATTAGTGCTGAGGTCTTGGTCTTGAGACCGGTACCACAAATGTGATGTTTACAGGTCACAGTTGTTGCTGATACTTGGTGCTTTTGGGCACCTGGTCTTATTTTTTTCTGGAATTTGAGAGGTCTTGTTAAGACACAGAAATATGCTGGGACCTGCACTTATGGCAAGAGAGGGATGCACTCCCCTCCCACTTTCTTCTGTCCGAGCTGTCATCCCAGAATAGCAATGGGGAGACTAAACCTGAGAGCTTTTCACAGACTGTTTGGCTGTGAGACAGCTCTCAAGCTTTTACTGCAGTCCTTAAGACATTTGAAGTTCACAAAGACTGAAAAGCTTAAGCAAGACTTCTAGTTTTAATAAGGAAAACCACCACAAATCAAAATATTTTGCAACCAAGTGATGTAAAAGAAAGTTTACAAACATAATTGAAATACACTACAAAGACTCAAAACACTAGAAGGTTTAAAAGCTAATTTCTTCTCCTATCCCCCCCCCCCTTTTTTTTTTTTTTTTTTCATTTTGAACATTTTGAAGCTAACCCTGGGCTTGGGGGCTTTTTTGGTTAAAGTCACTTTGAGGTTTGTGGGCTGGAACGTACTGCATGGAGACCAGACATGGACAAAACCAGCAAGTGGAGGAAGAGCAGTTTGAAAAGCAATTCTTTGAAACAGTCCAAGAAAAAAGAGTCTGGGCCATCTCAGATCTGTTCTGTATGCTCTTATGAGCTTCCCAAATCTTTCAGTACAGTGTCTCTTCCCAGAAGGTCCAGTAAGAGACCACATTGGGGTCACCTACTTTTTGGATTTGAGAAGTGTAGCAGGCTGATCAAAGACCCTCCCAAAGACAACAGAACTTATTAAGTTTTCCTGGAGAATGACAACCAGTTTTGTCATTCTGGCATCTGTATGGTAATCACAGCATCTATTAATGGTCCTGATATATAATATACCCAGCTTCCATTTTAGAGAAAAAAAAACACTCTTAAGCACTCTTACCGCATTTGGGTATACAGAGTGATTTCCTTGCTGAAGCCCACCCATCCCATCCACGGTTTAACATTACCTTCCTCACCAGTAATCACACTAGGTTTTCTCTCAGACCATTTCTTAACACTCGTCGTTCAGAATCAGACACATGATTATCTTAACAGGCAGTTTACTTCACAAAGTTAGATTTTGTGCTTTGTTATATGTGTGCAAATCTGTAGTGACAGGCTGAAAATGATCTTGGCCCTGAAGATGCAATCAATTAAATGCACCGTTTTATTTAATGGCAATAACTTTACATAAATAAAAAAGAATGACATCATAATACTCCTTTATTCTCAATCCACATCCAACCAGTCTTTTGTCTGCAGGTTACTTTCCAAGAAACTCCTGTTGCAAGGTTTCTTTTGAACTCTGCACCCTGAATAACCTTCGCTTCAGACTGCAAAGACCTTATTCTAGCAGCTTTGTTCAATACAAGACGTAGCCGGATCATGCGTCTTTCTGAAATGACAGGAAACCTGAACGACTACTCTAATTGCTGAGCACTTATGTCTCCTCTTTACCTGAATGGGAACACTTTCAATTAAAAAAACACCTTGTTTTTCTTTCAGGAAAATGGTTCGTTTTCTGCTGTT